CAATCACATGCTGCATGCTCTCTCCCTGCAGCCAATCAATGAAGCAGATGAAGATGTGCGTTCGTGGACACACACTTGTTAGCACTGATGACAGCGACCAGAGCCAATCAGGAGCTGAAAGTGCATATCCCCTCCCCCTTTGGGGGGGGTGGAGGCCAGGTGGGCGATTTGAAGGGCTTGAGCTGAGCAGTATTTGTGGGCAGTGCTGCGGGCAGGTGGGCATCTCAGAGGCCTTTTCTCGACCGTGCTAATGGAAACCTCTTTACTCTCCCATCGAGATCGCCTCATTGCTCTTCATTAACCTGCTTTATTTTTCTTACACTGTACTCACGAAACACTTCTTCCCCATTAAACAATTTTTGAAACAGTTATGGCTACTCAATTATATTTTTGCTTATGGCCTGACTACCCCCACTAGAACGTAAGCTCCCTTTGGACAGAGTTGTTTTTTTCTTTCTTTTCTTTTTTCTTTTTTCCGTTGGTGTTTCCTCCAGGCCTGACGAATACTGATCATATTCATCAATAAGTATTTTTCTTTTTAACCATGAAGAGGCCGGAGAAGGCAGGAGCTTGGAGTTTCATGTTAGGTGTATGCTTAACTTTGTCAGCTGTTCACCACAACCGGCTGCTGATAGTGCCAGGCCTGGGGCTACTTAGCAAGAAGTACAGGGCACACTGAGGTCAGATGCTGCTCGTTTGAGAGATTTTAGAAGAGTTTGAAGCTTGGGCCAAGACAGGCTATTCATATGGAAAAGGCACTGGAAACAGCTTGGGTGGGCCTGCAAGTTGTGTGGAACAGGGGGTGTCTCAGGGAATCACCAGGGCGGGGCAAGCAGGATAGCCAGGTTGATGGAGACTCAGATAGGGTGCCTGCCAGCTCTGTGTGGGAGGGCTCGGCAAAAGAACAATAGCCTTGCCCAGCTGGGGTGGCTCAGTGGATTGAGCTTTGTCCCATGGACTGACAGGTCCCCGTTCCATTCCTAGTCAGAGCACATGCCCAGGTTGCGAGCCTGATCCCCAGTAGGGGGTGTGCAGAGGCAACTGATCGATGTATCTTTCTCACATCAATGTTTCTATCTCTGTCTCTCTCTAAAAAAAAATCAATAAACACACACCACACACACACACACACACACGAACAACTGCCTCTGCCAGCAGCCAGCATTTCTGTCTGGAAGAAAGCTGACCCCCTGCCCCGACCCCAGCTCTTGCCTTGATGCCAGACACTTCAGTTTTCATATGTCCCTGGTATCTTTCCAGCTACTGTCCCGGTGCTGGAGCTCAGAGGGAGTGAGTCCAAGTAAGTCTGCATACAGGCCCTTTAAGAGAAACTGGGACTCCAGCGGACTCTGTGCCACTCAGCCACAACACCCACTGGTTTTTACGCCCAAAAGTTATGGGGACTACTCTTCCTGGTACTGTAACCCCAGGTTATGGGGTCGGGACCGCTTGCTTGCTCCTCAGGGAGGGCCTCCACAGCTGAGCTATTGCTTCCAGTTTTTATCTGCCACATGTGGGTGTGGGACAGAAACATTAGTGTGAGAGAGGCACATTGATTGGCTGCCTCCTGCATCGGAGGCCCAACCAGGGCCAGGGATTGATCCCCAGTATGTGCCCTTGATCGGGAATCAAACCTGCGACTCTTCAGACCTCAGGCCAACACTATAACTGCTGAGCCAAACTGGCCAGGGCACCCTGTATTTAAATAATTTATATTTCTGTTCTCCCTCCAAACCCCAAATCATGAACTTAAGCTCCCTTGAAGCAGAAACTGTGTCTTCTTTCTCTAGCTGTTTCCGGAATAGACATGTAGCAAAAGTATGCAAAACAAAGGAATGGGAAGAAAATGTAGGGATTTCCCAATGCTCCCTTAATGAATGCAGTGCTAAGAAGCAGAAATGAACTTTTGTTTAGAAACTAGACAATAGCAAAGGTTTTTGTAGTGACCTTGAAAAGAAGAACTGGAGAAAGTTTGTCATTCTGCTGAAGTATCTCTGTGAAGGTGGAGGAGGGAAGCTCTAACCCAGTGGGCTACCCACAGACATTTGGCAATGTCTGCAGATATTTTTTTGTCATCAAAACAGGGTGGGGGGAAGCTCCTTGCATATTGTGAGTGGAGACCAGGGATGCTCCTTAACATCCCACAATGCATAGAAAAGGCCACAGTCACACAACAAAAAATCACTCAGCTACAAATGTCCAAACGCCAGTAACACAGAAGTTGATAAACCATGGCCCTAATTCAACCTGTAGGAAAAAGTGAGGGTGGAGGTGGTGGGTGGTAAGGCAGCAAATGCAGCTTGTCTGAGGAGGTGATATTTGGGCCGGATTTCAAAGAATAAGTGGGTGCCGCAGAGATGGGAAAGGGGACACGATGACAGGGAGATGGAATCATGTGAATAAAGCATGGAAAGGCAAGAAGGGGCAGGAGCTCTGGCCAGGTAGCTCAGTTGGTTAGATTTACCAAGGTTTTGGGTTTGATTCCTGGTCAGGCCCCGGTCAGGGCACATACAAGGAGCAAGCAATGAATGCATAAATAAGCAAAACAACAAATTGATGTTTCTCTCTCTCTCTCTCTCAAAATCAATAAATAAAATTTAAAAGAAAAGAAGGGGCAGAAGGTCTTTAGGTGGTGGAAAGGATGTGGCTGATGAGTGTGAGGGTTGATGATTGAGAGAGAGGGGTAAGGTAGATAGATGGTAGTGAGGTTGTGAAAACTCTTGGAGAACTCCCACTGGAGTTGCTACCTCGGAAATGTCAGATATGGAAGGATGTTTAGCTAGGGAAGGGGCAGAGTTGAAGCTGATTATTAGAAAGCTCTCTTTGCTGCCGGTGCTGGTGATGGGCTGCATGGGGTGAAACAGAGCCCAGTGGTTGGGTGATGGAAGGCTGTCTCAATGGTCCTTTGGAGAGAGGTCAGGTTGAAACTGGATCTGGGGATGGAGAAGAGGTTACAGATCCAGGGCTTGGTGACTCATAAGAATGGGAAATGAAGGAGGGGAAGTGAAACCTAACTGTGGCCATAAATTCTAACTTACAGTTGACCTTATACTTATTTGCCAACTTACACTTAAGCAGCCCTTCCTGTAACCATAGGAACACCCATTTGATCAGGGTGCAAGTGGAAAACCTGTCACCACTTACTTACGCATAGAAACCGAGAAATCATTTAGGGAGTCAAATGATTATCTTGGCAGTGTTTGGCTGAGTGCACTCGGATCGGCTGCCCACCGCTGACAGTTAACGGCAAGCTCACCGTACACCAGGCACTGGTCATACCTATGCACGTTAAATGGTGAAATTCTCAGAACAAGCACATGAGCTAAGGAATGTTCTTGCCCCACTTAAGAGATGAGCCAGTGGAAGTAGTAAGAGGCTAAGTGGTGAAGTAGGTGTTTGAATCTTGGCAGAATGACTTTAAGAGCTTCAATGATTTTTTTTAATTTTTTTTTATTGATTTTTTTTTTTTTTAAGAGAGAGAGGAAGGGAGAGATAGGAATATTGATGTGAGAGAGATACATCAATTGGCTGCCTCCTGCATGCCTCCTACTGGGGTTCGAGCCCACAACCCAGGCATGTACCCTGACTAGGAATCAAACCAGGACATCTCAGTCCATGGGACAACATTCAATCCACTGAGTCATACTGGCTGGGCTAAATGATTTTTTTTAAATCCTCACCCAGGATATTTTTTACATTTATCTTCAGACAGAGTGGGAAGGAGAGAGAGAGAGAGAGAGAGAGAAACATTGATGTGAGAGAAACAAATCAATTTGTTGCCACCCGCATGACCCCAACCAGGGCCGGGGATGAACTGCAACTGAGGTATGTGCCCTTGGCTGGAATTGAACCTGGGACTCCCTGGTCCTCAGGCTGACTCTCTAACCACTGAGCAAAACTGGCCAGGGCCTAAATGATTTTTTTTTTTTTTTTTTACTAAAGGGGGAAATACACAACATAAAATTAATCATTTTAAAATTAACTATTCAGCCTTGGCTGGCGTGGTTCAGTGGTTAGAGGGTTGGCTCACGCACCTAAGGGTCCCAGGTTTGATTCCTGCTCAAGGGCACATATCCTGGGTGAGGATGAACAAAAAATTAAAATAAATAAAATAAATAAAGGGAATAATTCAGCTATTTATTTATTTATTAATCCTTACTTGAGGATATTTTCCCACTGATTTTTAGATAGAGTGGAAGAGAGGGAGGGAGAGACAGAGAAAGAGAAACATTGGCATGAGAGAGCCACATTGATTGGTTGCCTTCCGCATGACCCTGACTGGGGCTTGGGAGGGAACCTGCAACCTAGGTATGTGCCCTTGACTGGGAATCAAACCCGAGACCTTTGATCCAAGGGCTGATGCTCTAACCGCTGATCCAAACAGGCCAGGCCTAGTATCATTTAGTACAGCCACAATGTTGTGTAGCCACCTCTGTCTCATCCCAAAACATTTTCCATCACCCCAAAAGAAACCCCATCCCTATTAAACAGTCACTCACCATTGCCTCTTCCCTGAAGCTCCTAGCAGCCCCTAATCTGCCTTCTGTCTGTATGAATTTATCTATTTTGGATGTTTTGTATTAACAGTATCATACATGTGACCTTGTGTGTCTGGTTCTGGTGTCTTTCATGTAGCAGGTCTTTGAGTTCATCCTTGTTGAAGCATGTATCAGAGTGTCACCCTTTTCATGGCTGAATAATATTCCATCGTGTGGATGGTCCACATTTTATTTTGTTTATCTATTCATCTGTTGATGGACATTTTGGTTGTTTCCACCTTTAGGTGGAGGCTTACAAATTTTTTTTACTCCTCACTTGAGGACGAGCTTATTGATTTGAGAGAGAGAGAGAGAGAGAGAGAGAGAGAGAGAGAGAGAGATTGATTTGTTGTTCCACTTATTTATGCCTTCATTGGTTGATTCTTGTATGTGCCCTGACTGAGGATCAAACTCACAACCTTGGCGTATCGAGATGACACTAACCAACTGAGCTACCCAGCCAGGTTCCATATGTACTTTTATTTAATCCTCATAGCAACCCTGTGATATAAAACTTCTCCCACTTCATCACAAGTCAGAGCACTGAGACACGGAAGGGCAAGGTAGCTCACGTGTTGTCATATTCTTGATCAATGAAAGACCATGAACTTGATCCCAGGACTACAATGCCTAAGATAGTTCCAACATAGCAGGAAACTCATATACAACAGTTTATAAACCCACTGCCTGTGGGGATGTTAAGTCTCTAAAAATCAGCCCGTAGGTCTCCCTTCCTGTACAGGATACCGACGCTTTGGCAGATGTGGACCTGTTGGCTTCTCACTGGGTCGTGACATTGGAGTATATTGTGTGGGCGTTCTTCTGAGGGTTCACCCCCTGAAAGCGGATGGAGGCATAATGCAGCTCTGGCTCCGACCCCAAGGTCTGGGTGGCCCCTGCAGGGTTTGTGGAGTCGGTAGGGATATCTAACTTGGGCTGCTTCTGGTGATCCTGTGTGGAGAGCAAAGAATGGGGTCAGAGCAGAGCCGTGGGGGGTTGGGGAGGGGCGTCCCTGAAGTGAATTTGACTGTGACAAGACTTTTGTTCATTCTTTCATTCTTTTATTATATTTTTCTTAAGGTCCCATGTATTCACTTATCCATCAAATATAGCTCTTATTGGTTGCTTTCCAATTCTACTGAACACTCACACAGACCTATTAATAGTAGAAAATACTATTGTTTTACAAAGAAGCTGAGTCTCAGAGAAGTTAAGGACTTCTCAAGGTCACATATCTACTGTTCATAAGCTCAGAGTTCTCCTGTGTGCTGGGCACAGGATACACAGGATGCTGTTTATGAAAACCGACTTTTCTTCCCATGTGTCTCTCCTTTACACTTTTTTATTTTATCCTCACCCGAGGACATTTTTCCATTTTTGTTCAGATAGAGTGGGAGGGAGAGAGAGAGAAACATCGACATGAAAGGGACACTAGTGGCTGCCTCCTGCACGACCCAACCAGGGCCGGGGACAAACTGCAACCAAGGTACGTGCCCTTAGCGGGAACTGAACCCAGGTCTCTTTGGACCACGGGCCAACGCTCTAACTGCTGAGCCAAACTGGCCAGGGCCCTTTACATTTCTTTAAAAATCCTGACCCGAGGATATGTTTTTATTGATTTAGAGAGAGAGAGAAAGAAAAAAAGGGAGATGGAGAGAAACCTCAATTGGTCGCCTCCTCTACACGTCCTGACCAGGGATCGAAACTGCAACCTAGGTATTTGTTCTGATCGGGAATCAAACCTGCAACCTTTTGGTATATGGGACGATGCTCCAACCAACTGAGCCACCAGGCTAGGGATCTCCTTTAAGCTTACACCAAGTAATTCTCCAACACCAGCTAGGCGTCCTACAATTGGACTCAATTCTGACACTACCTACTTGAAGATATTGTCAGATACCACCGGATAAGGGCTCAGTCCCACAAGACACCCCCCCCCCCCCGACACACACACACACTGCCACTTCAGATGCCAACCACACTTGTCACTTGTGCTTCTAACCAACTGGCTATACCTCCACCAGGCCACGAGATCTGCTTTTGTCCAGATCACTTCTGATATCACTCAGCTACTCCCACAATTTCCTCCTCAAGTTCAATTCGATTTGCTCACAAAATTCAGGGAAACATTTTACTTGCTATGTACTAGCTTGCTATAGAAGGAGGTGCTATAGGATACAGGTGAGCATCCAGATGAAGAGATGCAGAGGGTGAGGCATGAGGGAAGAGCAAGGAACTTTTGTGTTCTCTCCAAGTGCACCTCCACATGTTCACCAACTGGAAATCTCCCTCAGCTCCTTACTCAAGATGTTTATGGAGGTTTCGTCATGTAGGCATGATCAACCACTAATTCCATTTCCAACCCCCTCCTCTCTGGAAAATAGAGGATGGGGCTGAAATGTCTAAGCTTTTAATTATAACTCAGTATTTCTGGTGACAAGCCCCAATCCAGGAATCCACCAAGAGTTGCCTCATTAGAAAAAAAAAAAAGGACCCTCTTATCACCTAGGAAATTCTGAGGGACTGAAGAGTACAACCATTTTCTGATACAGACTTATTTCTTGGCTCCAGAGTTACTGCAACATTTCTCAAGAGAGGCTTTTCACTTCCTCTTCCTCCATTTTCTCTTTAACTCACTCTAGTCGATATCTCTACCTCCACCACGCCACAAGATCTGCTTTTGTCCAGAACACTTCTGATATCACTCAGCTAAATCTAAATATTCATTTCTCAGACTCTATCATACTGGACTTATTAGCATTTGAGAAGAGAAGGACTCTCTCCTCCTTGGAGTGTCATATCCCCTTGGCCACCCGGACCCAACCCTACACTCTCCTGATCATTTACTTTTCTTTTTTAGGGGTATTCTTGCTGATTCCACCGTATCTCCCTGACTCTAAATGCTGGAGGGTCCCGGGGCTCTGTCCGCAGGCCCTTTCTCTTCTTTATGGTTTTATCCACTATCAGAATTGGATGTGGAAGACTCCCAGATCTCTCTGCCTCCCATCTGAACCCCTCTCCTGAGTTCCAGAATCTACTTGTCACCGTCACATAAACATCTCAGAAGTGCCTCAAACTTATAATAACCAAAATAAAGCTTGATCCCCTCTCAAAAATACACTCCCCCTGCAGAGTTGGCCATTTCAAGAATTGGTCATTCAATTCTTTAAGTTCTTTAGGGCAACCACATTGGAGTCATCCTCAGTATCTGTGGACATTTGTGGACATCTATGACTGTCTATGGACCTCTATGACATTATTGGACATCTATGACATCCATGAATACCCATGACACTCTATGGACATCTCTAACGTCTCTGAATATCTATGACATTTCTGGACATCTATGATATCCGTGGAGTTATCTTTGACATTTCTGGACATCTGTGGACATTTAAGAACATCTACGACAAACTATGGACACTTACGACATATCTGAATATCTATGATATCTCTGACATCCATGGAGATCTCTTTGACATTTATGACACCTATGAAGTAAAGGCAGTGAGCTATCTTTGCTCACACACCAAGTGTACTCTATCATTCCATTGGCAAATCCTGTTGATCCCACCTTCAAATTGTATACAGAACACGACTGCTTAACACCAGATTCGTTATTGTTACCCTAAGTCTGTCTTATGGACTGAACCGTGTCCCCCAAATTCATATGTTGAAGCTCTAACTCCCAATGTGACTGTATTTGGAGATAGGGCTGTTAAAGAGGTTCTTAATTTAATTTTTTAATCCTCACTCGAGGATATTTTTCTATTTATCTTTGGAAGGGGAGAGAGAGAGAGAGAGAGAGAGAAACATCAGTGTGAGAGAGACACATCGATTGGTTGCCTCCTGCATGACCCTGACCAGGACCGGAGACCGAACTACAACCAAGGTACATGCCCTTGACCAAAATTGAACCCGCGACTCTTTGGTCCGCGGGCCTATGCTCAAACCACTGAGCCAAACCAGCCAGGGCAAGAGGTACTAATTTTGAATGGTGTCATTAGGGTAGGACCCAAAATGACTTAAGTTTTTAGTAGAAGGGGAGACACTGGGCATGCATGAGCACAGAGAAAAGGCTAAGGGAAGCCATGGCGAGAAGCTGGCCATCTGCAAGCCAAGGAGAGTGTCTTCAGGAGGAACATTTTACTTTTGTAACCTAATCATTTGTAAAAATACAGATACTGCCCAAGGACCCAAAACATGACAAGTGGGAGATACCGGCGGAAGGAAAAGATAAATGCATGGGTGACTGCTGATCATGTGCTCAAAAACCTCACACTGGTGTCCACATTACTCAGAGTTCAATGAATAAATGAGAGCCAGAGCTCCGAGGATGCACGGGAACAAGGCGGGTTGATGCAGGCATGTGTGGAGAAGGTGACAGCCAACAATGATTCTGAGACCCCAAACGCTTACTCTGCTCTAGGCGAGTGAGCAGGCGAGTCTGGGAGGCAGAGAGCATTGGGGGTGACTGGTTTTCTTGCCCTGAATACCAGACCAAGTTGTCTGGGCACTCAGCAGCGTGGGAAACCAGTGCACTTCAGACGAGGGTGTGATGGGGTGGTGCAAGGAAGGAGAGATAGGAACCGTGCAGCAGGCTAAGGACTAAGGAGCTCGGCTCAAAGGGAATGGTTGTACTAATCTGTGTTCAGATGAAGCACAGACACTCTCTTCAGCATAATGGTGCAGGAAGAGCTGGTGAAAGACTGGGCAGGACAGGTACAGGTCTCTGGTTGGGTGTCAGAGACAAGAATACCATTGTTGAGGTGGAGAGCCCAACAGAAGTATGTGTGGGGCTGTATTAACCATGCGCTTCTTATGTTTTGACCTCTGGGACTTTGCTAATCCTAGAGAAACTGTCCCTGCCGGGACTGGACAATGGCTAGAAATAGTAAAGGACTTGCCTGCCAATGCAACTTCCACATTGCAAACCAGCCAGTCCAGTCCTAAGTCCACACCTCCAATCACCTCTTTTATGGAAACTCTCACACTTCAGATCATTCCCATCCTGCCCTGATCACCTCAGGACCAGGTACCAGACAACGAGAGACAGCCCCTACACCCAGAGCCCACCAAACTTAGTCAAACCAGCCAGTTCTAGGCCTGTGCGCCCTGCCTCACCTCACCTTCCCCCTGGAACCGGTCATCAAGGATCTGTGTTTCCCCCTCACTCCCTCTTCCTCTTGACCTACCCTGATGCTGCCCCATGTGGCACTTCCCCCTCCTCTTGGGAACTGTGAGGGACAAACGATGGCCATTATCTTCTGATCTGTGGGCCCTGACATATCTGAGAAAGTAAAGAGCTCATTTCTAGACATGCCAAATGGAGTGAGACTATGGGCCACCTGGAAAATGCCGGGGGAGAGGGGGGTAGGCTGCACACCAAGGTGCCCATATCACTCACCTGAGAAGCTGGCTGGCTGGCAGGGTGGATGCTGTCCATGCTCACTGCTGCCCTGGCTGCTTTCTTTCTGTGGGTCTTCACTCTGTGGGGAGACAGCAGGGTGTTTGACACAGGGTCACTCTTTGAGGCTGGAGTGAACGACCAGAGCAGGTCAAGGGTGGGGCAAGACCAGGAGCCTTCATAACACGACGTTGTAACAAGGTCACACCACGCCTGGATATCTGGGACCAGAGCTGGGAACAGACTCAAGCCTGGCTCAGCGGCGACCGGCTGGATTCTCAGCACCGCTGCATCCCCTACCCTTGGCCTGGGCCCTCACAACACCTCCAGGTCCCTATTCTCCACCTTGGGCCCACACGTGATTCAGCTTACACAAAATAGATGAGGCAGAGGCACACAGCCAGCAAGGCAGTGACACCGGCTCCCCAGACGGCCCCCTGAACCACTCCTGCCGTGGTCCTCGGTGCCCCTGAAGATGAGAGAGACTTGCGTGAACTCCAACGTTGATGAGCAGGCTGGTGTCCCCTCCTCTCAAGGCATGAACAAACAGGTGCCCCTCTCCTTCCATCCAGGGTTCAGCACCTAGGTTCTCCAGGACCATGGGATGAAGGACACAGTCTATGGGACACCTCCAATCCAGTCCCCACACTCCTGTTTAGAAAACCTCCTCTCTTCTAGGACCTGGGTTTTTCTCCATCTGGGGTCTCTCTGCAACAGACCCCAGACCTGACTGCGCGGGACCTGGAGGCTCAGGGTCCCAGAATGCAGTGGGATGCTAAAAGACATGTCTCCTTCCTTCCTGGGAAGGTGTCTGAATCTCCTCTCCTGGCATCCACTGGCCCTGCCACTCGGGGTCAAAGGGGGTCTTTTGTGCCTTCCAGAAGAAGGTGAAAGCAAGGAGGTTCTCGGACATTCAGGCAAGACCCAGACAGCTCTCCTGGTCCCTTCTGGCCATGCCTTCCAGGAGCCTAATGCCCGGGGTCAGGGATGTGTCTTAGGGCATCACTTGTCACAGTCGGATGGGACTGGCTGAGAGGGTCCTAATGGGGTCACTGTCCAGTGGGGGTGGGGATCAGATACCATCACCAATGGGAATAGGGCAGGGGGAGCACTGGGCTCCAGAGACAGGTCAGGGTGAGGGCTGAGGGGTCGACGGTAAAATAATAGCCCCAAGAGATTTTCGGAGCAGTGAGACTACTCTACATGATGCTATAATGGTGGACACGTGTCATCATACAATGTCCAAGCCCAATAGCATGTGCAATGCCAAGAGTGGACCAAGAGTAGATGATGGGTTTGGGGTGATGGATTGTCAATGTGGATTCGTCGGTGGTACACATGTTCCCTCTGGTGGGGGATGTGCCTGTGAGGGAGGGTGTAGCAGGTTTAGGGGAACTCTCTCTACCTTCTACTCAGTCTCACTGGGAACCTACAACTGCTCTAAAAACTAGTCTACTCTCAGTGCCCCAAGGCATTCATGACTGGGGGAAGACAAACATCATCTTTTTTTCATCCTCACCCAAGGATATTTTTCCATTTTTTGTTCAGATAGAGTGGGAGGAAGAGAGCCAGAGAGAGAGAGAGAAACATCGACGTGAAAGGGACACATCGAGTGGGCACCACCCACACAACCCAACCAGGGCCGGGGACAAACTGCAACCGAGGTACATGCCCTCAGCGGGAACCGAACCCAGGTCTCTCTGGACCACAGGCCGATGCTCTAACCGCTGAGGCAAACTGGTCAGGGCCAAACATCATCTTTTAGGATGGGCAGGGAGGAGGTTACGGGTCACACTGGAAGACAGCAGTAGAAGATCGTTGGGGAACAGGCCTGACAGGGGGTTTGCAGGCCTAACTGTACGCCTGTTGCGCTCTGGAGGTGCAGCCCTGAATCCACCAAGTAGAGACCTCACTGCAGCCAATACCCATGGAAGGGAGGTTCCTATCTACCTGTGCCATCTCCTAGGCAGTCACCTACTGTTGACTTCTGTGAGGCACCTAGAACAGGAAGAGAGGTTCCCTCTTCAGTGAGGTGACATGCGGGGATATGCGTAGGCATATCCCAACCCCGAGAGGTGCTGAAAATGCAAGAGGGAGAGGGCTGTGTCCTCTAGGCCCCCCTACTGAGCCAGGCCTCCAGGAAAAACCTCACCAACCAAACCAGCCTGGCCCTCCACCTCTGCACACCCTCAGGGACCCTGGGGTTCGGACCCAGCACTCACAGCTGACGTTGAGCTGGACGGTGGTCTCCACAGTCACACCTACTGCAGGGAACTTCACCTGACAGGTGAGGTTGGTGCCGTGGTCCTGGGGCCGTGGAGTGAGAGTGAGCTCAGAAGAGAGGTGGGTCCTGGGGCCCAGGGACGTGTGAGCAGCTGACGTCCAGGAGAAGATGGGGGGCGTGCCCCGCTCACAGGCCCAGGGCACAGAGCAGGTCAGGTTCCTGGGGCGGCCGGACTCCAGGGTCCCCGGGATGGAGATGTCAGGTGTGTGGTTGAGGGCTGGCGAGGAGCAGGGGATACAGGGGATCAGGGGGGAGGGCCCAGGTGCAGCCCGGGGGGAAGCCTCAGGCTTTGGTCCAGCAACTCCTATCCCAGTCCGCCCAGGGGCCACCGTGAACTTCCACTGTGGGCTCTGCTGGAGCCTGTCACTCACCCGTCACATGCACAGAGAGCATGTTCTTTACGTAACTATACTTCACATTAGGTCCTCTGACCACCCGAAAAAAGTACGATCCATTATCTGTCCTCCTGACATCTCTGATGTCCAGGGAGCAGTTGTGTTTGAGGGGATCCCCGAGGAGGTGGAATCGGCCCTTGGTCTCCACCTTCACTGCATGATCAGGGTTGTTTGTGGCCACAGCAGCACCCTGCATTGCCTCATCTCCTTCCCGGAACCAGAAGCCATGAGCTGGTGTATCCGTAGTCCGTCCATATCGCACCTTGCAGGGAACGAAGACGCACAGGCCCTCCTGCACTGTCACAGCCTCCTGCACTTCCAGTGTGTAACCTGGATCCTGTGCCAGGGACCCTGCAGGGAAACGAGGGTCAGCCTCCATCCCGGCCCCACCCACACCTTCTCCCCTCAGGACTCACCTGGGCAGAGCAGGGGCAGCAGCAGCCACAGCATCTCCGGAGGGCGTCTGGGTGCCTGTGCATGAAGAAGGAAGGACAGCAGTGGGACGGGGGCTGTGGTGAGGCCACGGAAGCCGGGGAGGAGCACAAGATCGTGGTCAGTCACGAAAGAGGAACCTCAGAGACCAAACACTTCCCGTCTCTGCACGGAGCAGGGAGGCACCCCGTCACACGGAGACCGTTGACACCCACCCGGAGAACAGACAGGGAGCCCATCCTGAGTCTTGCCTCGTCTCGGGAGCCTCCCTCCATCCCCGGAGCAGGACCAGGGCCTCTGAGGACATCTGAGGATGGGACACCTGCATCTCCCAAGGTCCTCCCCTAAGAGGGCTTTTCTGAGCTCTGTTGTGTACACCAGGGAGCAGGTCAACGTCTGCATCGACAAGGAGTTCACAGCCTCATCTAGAAGCCGTGGTCGGTCCTACAAGGTGTAGGATTCATTAATGTCCATGTGAGAGTCCATGGCAGAGGAACAGAAGGGCAGTTCCCAAGTAAAGTGAAGGCAGGATTCATTCCTTCATTCACAAACCACTTAGTGAACATCTAAGGGTTGGTTCCCTGAACAAGACAAGAAGGGATACATGGACCTGGTCTATGCCGTGAGACGCTCCCCACTCAGTGACACCACCTCCCCCCAAACGGTACTGTTGAACTTCAGACCTGTGCTCACCGATGAGTTTACCACGTGTCCTGGCGGCTTGCTGGGTGTTTTCTAAAAATACAAGTGAGGGTTTTTGTTTTGTTTTGTTTTGTTTTGTATCTCATTGCTGATTCATGAATTTTCCATCGTATCTCCAAAGTGAAGACGATGTTGCATCATCCTGTCAAACGAAGGGAGACTCCATGTTCCACGAGCCAGGTTGGGAAACTCCTTTCTGTAATTCTCACCCCCCAGTGTATGTAAACTGGGGAGACTGCTTAAGTTGCTTGTCACACAGATGAGCATCTCCCGTCTTGGAAAAACTCTGCTTCAAGTTCTCCAATAGTCCAGGACAAATTGTGGTTTACAGTACGTTCAAGTGTTCTCGTTCTGTTATGCAATGTCCTTACCATATGGAGTCTGTTGCTCCCGGTCTTCAGCAATAAGGTAATATTTGCCTTTCACATGAAGTACATACTTTGTTTTCTCAGACGAAAGGTTTTCCATGTCCCCTGTTGAGGCTGCCAGGCATCTTAGGGATAGAGCTAGTATTTCATTTCAGAAACAGTGTTATTCTAGCTTTCTGGTACAAGGATGTCTTCTTACCGAGATGATTTCTTTTTTTTTTTTTTTTTTTTTATCCTCACCCGAGGACATTTTTTTGTTCAGGTAGAGTGGGAGGGAGAGAGGGAACAGAGAGAGAGAGAGAGAAACATCGATGTGAAAGGGACACATCGAGTGGCTGCAACCCGCACGACCGACCAGGGCCGGGGACAAACTGCAACCGAGGTACATGCCCTTAGGGGGAACCGAACCCGGGTCTCTCAGGACCACAGGCCGACGCTCTAACCGCTGAGCCAAACCGGCCAGGGCCGAGATGATTTCTGTTCTGCCTAAAAAGAATTGTTACCTTAGATGTGCTATAAAATTGTAAGTCACCTCAAATTCTAAGTGGGACTATGAGGGGTCTAATTTCTACATAAAATTAAAATGTGTAAGAACTGATGAAGAAGATGCTTCTCACAGTTAAGTGTGGCTCCAAATGTACTATTTCTAGGAAATGTGAGTGGACTATGCAGCTACAATGATAATTTAGGTTCAGTTCACATGGTTTTTTATCTGAATCTGTGGCACATGCGTCTGAGAAATTCTTGACCCTGGCAACATAAAAGCGTCTGTCATATTTGTAAAATCTTTCAGACACAGTAGTATCTAGAGAGATGTATCAGTTTTACCAATACAGAGAGATGATTGCACCCTCATTTGATGTATAAGAAATTGAGTCTCCAATAAATAAAATGAGATCTTGTTCTAGGTTGTTTAAAAGTAAGAATATAGCACTGGCTGGTGTGCCTCAGTGGTTAGAGTATTGGCCCATGCACAGAAGGGTCATGGGTTTGATTCCCAGCCAAGGGCATATACCTGGCCTGCAGGTTTGATTCCTGGCCTGGGTCAGGGTTGTGTGGGTGGCAATCCGTCGATGTGTTTCACATTGATGTTTCTGTCTCTCTCTTTCTCCCCCATCCCCACTCTCTCTAAAAATTCACAGAAAAAATATTGTTGGGTGAGGATTAACAGCAGCAACAACAAAAAGTAACAACATACCATGTAATAGAAAACCCAGTACAATTTATTGTATAGTTAAGAAAGTTATACCATGTTAATGGAAGGGAAGATTCTGCGAGTTCTCATTGT